AAGACAGTAGGTGGAGTCAAGGAGAGGCCATGTAGCTGCCAAAGAAGGCAGACATCATGTAGTTGCCCAAGAAGTAAGAGGTAACAAACTATGAGCCTCATGGTAAAATACAAATTAATAGAAAAGGGTTAATTTAAGAGCTAGCTAGAAATATGACTGAACTGTTGGCCAAACAGTGTTGTAATTAATATAGTTTCTGTGTGATTATTTTGTCTGGGCAACCAGGAACCTAACAAGCAGTCTCCTCCTACAGCATCCAGTCAGTGCTAGAAATTGTGTAAGCTGCTCTAAGCAAACAATTTTCTATTTTCACAGTTGCACCTTAAATTCTTAAAGGTATATGCCATATAATTGGGCACCATGAGCATGGACAGTATTTCTGACAATGCAAGACTGGAGACATTGATTCAAAATTATGAACCTAAATTATGAACCTAAGTGTGGTATCAAACAGAGAACCATTCATTATGGACTGTTCTGACATTCTTTGGCAGTGCTGCCATTTAGGAGGTGTGTTACGCTGCTTAGGTCAATTTCTTCTTACAATTTCTTGTTCTGCTTTACCATGAAGATGCTTAGAAATCTTCATTGTACCCTCTATGTATATGAATCATAACCTCTAAGACTTAGCATAACTAATAGCCAATATCATCTTTTCTGTTTGGTTCATAGACCATATTAACACAGAAAGATGAGCTTTAAACTGCAACTAGTCTCTTTTCTCTGTAGAAGGATGCTTAAAAGAAATCTCATCTCAGAATTGAGAATAATAGATGGTTATTTATTTAGGGGTAGACTCACAAATCAGAATCCTCTGCTGGAACAGAAACAGAAACTGAATTCCACAGCCAGAAGAGAGTGGATGCATGCTTTACATGAGCAAAAACAGTATAAGAGACCAAGTCCCAGTGGGCAGGTAACGTGAAGGCTACAGGCTATAGGACTTTTCTACAGCACCTCCCCCTTTTGTTTAAATATGAGAGTTCTAAGCCTATTGCAAAATTATACACAATAAGAGAAAATATATTCAATAATTATCCTATCACATGAGTTTAAGTCTTATATAAAATATAACTTGGCCAAGTCATGAGAGAAAAGTAACTACAACTATTTAGTCTTCAACCCCATTGAAGATCTGACAAGGAAAATAATATTACTTGAGTAAGCAGGAAGTGCAGTCAAGCAACTTCAAAAATGTGCAACAAATGACAGAGACAACTGGCAACCTGGGCAATCACCCAAAGTTTCATTTGCATTGCTGAAGCAACCAACTTTGGATAAGGCCTAGAGTAACTGACAGGCCATTTTCAGAGGCAGGAAGTTTTTAAAAACCATCTTACCCTGTCTTGGCAAGATTTGACAGTCCTGCTTATACATTTCCGGAAACCATGTACCTTGTCAGTAGTTGAGGCAAGGGCAGTTCCTTGCCCAAAAGCCAATTTTGCCAAGAAGAAAATAAGCTCCAAATGGAGTGTCTTTGGTGCTCAACAATCTCTGGGGAATAGATCAATACTGATAGGAGCAATCATGTCTCACTTCAACAGAACCCTAAGTTATTTAAATGCAATATTCTAGAGCTCTTTGAAGTGGTTGAAGATTACCTATATATGCAAAATACAATCTCTATGTATCTAAAGAACCTGCTTAGTCTAGCTATAAGTATAACAAACATAGATGACTATTGATCTATAATTCTTAATACCTATATAACTTAAAGACTAAGAATTCATATTAGAATATTATATAGTAACAACTGTGCAACAAATGAGGACAATGACCTCAAAAATATAAACAGTATATAACTATCTTGATCAGAGGTAGAAATAGATATTGAAATATGATAAATATATCCTAAAATTATTTCAGTATACAAAAATGTTTTAAGCAGTGGTAGAAGCATGCATGCATATGATATGACAAAATAACTTTGCCTAGATATACAAATATGGTGGATGAAAATAGGAACATATATAATTAAGTTGGTATCAATATACAAGAATCTATACCAATGTAAATTTTTTGTAAATAATGGCTCACAAATATTCACTCTATTACTCACTATTATTATTAATGTGAGTATGTTCACACTAATCTATTATCACATCCAGTTTTTCCTTTATTTTTTAAAAAAGATCCCTGAGCCTACAAAATTTCCCCCTCCAGCCCCCAACCCTATACCAATTATAATCATCCCCTTAATGATACCCCTAACCCTGAGGATAAACTTTGCTGGGAGAGGGAACATCATCTTCTAGAATTACTTCCAGCTGTCATGGGGGTGATTTTTTTTTTCCCTATGGGATCCTGTGAAAGTAAAATTATGGTTAAGTTCCAAGATTACTAATTTGTATAATTGCAAATAGTCTCTGAGTATTTGGTAAAGTTTTTCTGAGGTTCTTATTTGGAGTTCTGGCCAGGATGTTGTAAAAAAAAAAAAAGTGCACAAAGTTGGAACCATCTTGAGGAGCTGGTACCCAAAAACAGGTCTTATATTAGCACTATCAGCATCATGATGTCATATCAACCAGGAGGAATTGTTGTTGTGGGGCCCCATCTTCTTCCTGGAAACTTCAAAGATTACTGCAGGAAAATTCATTGTTCATTGTGGAAAACTTAAATATTATTTATATATAGATATACAGGCATATATATTCAATGAAAGGTGTGATAGAGACAAAAAAGATATAAAGAAAAGTAATTTTTTTTCTAATTTTTTTTTCTTTCTGTCCCATACCAGATGGCTCTTGACTTAAGACAGAAACTCTGAATTTTTCTTTTAACAACATGCCTGGATGGAGAGAAGAACAGAGCCATCACCAGCTCCAAAACCAACCAACTCTGTATATTCATACACACACACACACACACACACACACACACACACACACACACGAGTTTAAATGTATGTGTCTCACATTGGGTTCCAGATGAAGAAGGATGCTTAAAAGAAATCCCACACTAGCTCAGAATTGAGAATAATAGACGATTATTTACTTAGAGGTTGACTCACAAATCAGAATTCTCTGCTGGAACAGAAATCAGAAACCAAATCCCACATCTGGAAAAGAGAGCAGAGGCATGCTTTACAGGGCATAAATAGTATAAGAGGCTATGTCCCAGTGAGCAGGTAACTTGTAGGCTACTGGCTGTAGGATTTTCCTACAGCACCTCTCAGCTGAAATCTCCATGACTGTGTGCCAGTGATAACTGTTGATATTACAAACGCAGAAATATAAGTGCTAAAATAAGTTAAGTTGATATAATTTTACTCATTATTGATCAGGGAAGAGATTGTAAATGAATTTTACTAGAAAACTAGAATATCAAAGACACCAAAGAAAACATGAAGTGTGTTTGTCTGGGCAACAAGTAAACTCTAACCTTGGGTATATTGTTTAGTGGGAAAAGGGTTGGGGAAGATGATGACACCTGAGGCACAGTGGGTGCATGCTTGAGAAACACTGGAAGATTCAGTTATCATTCAGTGGTCATGAAAAATTTTAAGAGATTTGGTGATAGGAAAGTGGTAGCTTAGAAGAAATTGTCACTAGGACAGAAGCTGAAATGCTAATATACAAAAAAAAAAAAATCGTCGGGCGGTGGTGGCGCACGCCTTTAATCCCAGCACTCGGGAGGCAGAGACAGGCGGATCTTTGGGAGTTCGAGGCCAGCCTGGTCTACAAGAGCTAGTTCCGGGATGGTCACCAAAGCTACAGAGAAACCCTGTCTCGAAAAAAAAAAAAAAATCAAATTACTATGAATTTCTAAGTCAGGGAGAAATCTTGCTATATATTCAAAGTAGCATGCATATTTTTTTAAAAAAAAGTTGTTTCCATTTCCTTCTAGAGAGATTATTACATAGCATGAGTAAATAAAAAGTATACATAGAAATATACTATAAAATATTGAAGAAAATGCTGCAAAACTGTGAACACATAGTCTTTGCTCCAACTCTTCAGTGTATTCCTGTGCACAAAAAAGATCCTGAAGTTTGTTGGCCTGCCAGTCTAGTCTTCATTGAGTTCTCTGCCAATGATGGACCTTGTCTCAAAAAAAAAAAAAAAAAAGAAATGGAAGGCTCCTGAGTAATGACACCAGTGCTTGTTCACTAGCTTTCAAGCATTTAAACATGAAATGTCTGTATTTAGTTAAAACTTATTAATATTGGCCTAATTTGGCCCATAATTGCATAAGAAATATATAAGAAAAATACATACCTGTCTTAAATCTCCTTGAGTATTGCTTCAGAATTGCCTAAAAACTGACTTGTTATAAAGAATGTGGAGATATCACGTGGAATCAGAAAATTAGCTGGAATCAGTTCTGTACCTTTTTATAGTTAGAAAAGTGAGCTGCGAAGGCCTTTAAAGTAGATTTGGAGATGTCACATCCAAACAGCCTTTCCATATTAGATACCACATTTGGGCTTTTTGCAGAAACAGGAAACAGGCAGATACTGGGACCCTATTCTATGACATAGCACATTCTTTTTCAGGGGTCTTACTCTTAGCAAATGATTGAGTGTGACACTTCTCCTCCCTTGTCACTGCAGAGTATATCCCCTGAGAATCAATCACCCAGCAAATATCCAAGAAAATGCACTATAGATATCCCTACTCTTACAACTAAATGTAGATAAATTAAAACATCTAGAATCAAATTGTTACTATTAACATAACTGGATATGGAGTACACCTAAGAATTAGACTCTAACTCTCACTGTAATACTGTCTATAAAAGCTTTATTCCCACTCTGAGGCTTTGACTTTACTTAACTGTGTCAAATCCGACTAGAACAATAACATGTATCTTTGCTATAATAGGCATATACATACACATATATAATATTTAGCACATATTATAACATATACTATATAATAAATATTAGGCATAAACACATTTCCATCCAAGCAGTACAATATTTTACCAAATCCATATAAAATCAAAGTTTGAATATATAGCTAACTATTATATTAAAATAAAGTTTTCATATTTTATAGGCTTGAATCAAAGGAGCCATTCCTGTCTGTTGGGTAAGTACACATCTAAATATTTTAATTATTGTTATTTTAGTTTAAATTAAAAGGGATTGCATAAATGACATTTCTATTCCCCTAGTATCATATTAACAGTCATAATTTGTCATTTCACCAAAAAAATAACTATTTTCCATATGGAAAAATCCTGACATTTTGTGACATCATACATTCAGCTAACTGATGAATAATGAGCCTTCTGTCTCCTATGAAGTTGTCCAAGTGTCTTAGTTAGGACTTCTATTATTACGAAGGGACACCATGACCAATACAACACTTATAAAAAAATTAATTGGCGCTAGCTTACAGTTTCAGAGGGTTAGTTTATTATCATCATGGAGGATGGCATGTAGGCATACATGGTGCTTGAGAAGGAACATCTTGTTCCACGGGCAAAAGGAGCAACTGTGCATCACACTGAATGCAGCCTGAGCAAAGGAGACCTGAAAGCTCATCCCCACAGTGACAAAATTCCTCCAACTATGCCATACCTATTCCAAAAATGCAACTCCTAATACTGCCACTCTGTAGAGGGGACATTTTCTTCCAAACCCCTGCAGTTAGTTATGATGAGTATTTTTATCATCCATGAAAGAACAACTCAGACTGATTTTGAAAATTCCTCTAAACTAGAGATTTGAATTCTTATTCTTTCTACCAATTATGTACTATTTCTTTTAAATCTGTTCTACTCCTTCCCCTGCCTCTGTGACTTATAGAGATAAGAAGTCCTAAGGCAGATAAATAAAAGGTAATACTTATCCTCTGGTGAGATATTGTCTTAGTGATGTTGTATGTCCCAATAATAATATAATGTTGGCAAGCAAAAGCATATACCATTCCCAGATTGTTAGTACTAAGAATAAACCATGTTTATTTTGTCTGATGTGTTAAATAACCATTTACTGATATACACAAATATCCTATGAAAGAACTTCACATGATCAGCATTGTGGTGAATGTATTAAAAGGCTGTATGATAAAACTAGTGTTATGTCATATTTTATTAGAAGAAAATCTTACTCTGTAGCTTGTATGCTAACTGATCATTCTCATGTAATGAGGATAGCCTTCAAAATACCCAGAGCAACTATTTTTATCATTCTGTTCACAATTGTAGAGTATTACTATTATCTACTGAACAATGTGGTTACCAATTCTCTTTCACTCATCAGTGCTTTTCAGTGTGTCTTTCACTACTTGAAAATCACAATAGTTGCTAGGGAAGGTGAATATGAAACATATGGTTTTAATGGAGAATTTCATGAAAAATGGAAGTTTGAATTGGTCTGATGATGAAAAATCATGACAGAATACTTTTGTCCTGCTTTGATGATAACCCCTTTTGTTAAAATATCTAACCCCAAAGAAATCTCATTTGAATTCATACACATCTGCCCTCTAGTCAAGAGTGATGAAATAGCTTTGCTTCATGCCTCACTTAATAACGTTGCTTTGCAGCCTTTTCTGTTCTCATTACTTTAGATGGATCCATCTTTTTCACTATATACCCTTCTTAAACAAAGGCTGATTCTAAGTAGTCTTTGTTTTAAGTTTATCAAGAGTTTAGTGCTCAACATTTCAGCAAGGAGACTAAACTACTCAAAATAAGCACAATGTAAAAATAAGGAAATACTCAAGTTGGGAATATTGGCATGACACTAACAATGTATTGATGATTTCTGCATACCTCTTAAAAACAAAAGGTTTCTTCTGACGGCATATTGTTATTTACAGATGAATATCTCCATTTCCCTATAAGATATTTATTTTTAATAATATTTCCCTAAAATACACATGTATCTTGCTCTTTCCTCTGTTTAATAACCTCTTACCAACAAAAAATACTTATGAACTCAGTAGACACCAGGAACTCTGAAAAACACATGTTCGATTTATGAATTAATACTTAATCACACAATGAAATAAATAAATGCATCTGTACAGCTCATATATTAGTTGAAACATGGGAAGCAATGTTACATTTGCTTTCAGTATGTTACATTTCAAAATGTTACTTTGCTTTCAATAAAACCCATGTGAATTATATTAGCTTAAAAGCATTCTAAATATTGCATGTTTTTGTCCATCATCCATCAATATATAAAAGAATCTGTCAATATGTGTTCATAAAAGTATCCTTGGCTTTCGTTGTCTATAATAGTTGCTGCTAGCTGCATTCATTTAGACAATTTCTTAAAGCCCCAAAAACTGGAGATTAAACAAGATATTTTGAATTAAACACTGAGAACTATTCTTGACTCATTGATGTAATAGGAGCAGTGGGGCTGTGTCCCCAGCACCCCGGTCCCCTCACTAGCTTATGCCGCGAAATAACAACACACAAATTGTATTCTTTTAAACACTGCTTGACCCATTAGCTCTAGCCCTTACTGGCTAATTCTGATATCCCGATCAACCCATCTCTAATAAACTGTGTAGCACCGGTCTTACTGGGAAAGATTCAGCCTACATCCATCCTGGGTCGGAGCTTCATCGCGTGTGCCTCAGAGAGCAGAGCTATCGCGTCTGCCCGGGAGAGGGGAGTATGGCATCTCTGAGCTCACTTCCTCTTCCTCCCAGCATTCTGTTCTGTTTACTCCTCCCACCTATGTTTTAACCTATTGGGGCCAAGCAGTTTCTTTATTGCTTAACCAATGAAATCAACAGATTGATATATGACACTCCCACATAAAGAATTGTTTAAAAATGTCAACTTTTCTGACAGTTCTTCAGGGTATAGGACTAGTTTGCTTAAAAACTCAGTCAGGTATCATTGCAACTTCTTTGAGTCACATGTAGAAGCCTAAATAAATAAATAAATAAAAGATATATATATATATATATATATATATATATATTCACATAATATGGAAATAATATAAATTCATATTATTACTCATATGTAGATATGACTTTAGGTAAAACATATTAACATTATTACTTATCTCACTTTCTTTGCAAGATAAGTAACTGGTTTTAAAAACATTTTTGAAATATTAAATTTCAGAAAAATTAGTTAAACTTGGTTTTCTGATGCTTTGCTTTATAAGACATTAAATAAATAGTGATTGTAGAAAAGAAATGGAGAAAACAAAAGTCAACTTTGCTTTTAGAACAATAAGAACAAAATTATTTTCTACAGAATCTAAGAAAAAACTTATTTAAACATAGTCTTGCCCTTAAAAAACCTTTCCATGCTCTTCTAATGTAACACAAATGTAAGAGGAAGCATCCATCTTGGTACATGAAGTTTGAGGTTCACACTGTAGGCATAGAATGATCTTTCTGGAAAATCCATACATTTTCCTCAGGTGCCAAGCACTCTGACTGTTGACAATTGGAGATGCTCCTTGCAAAATGGTCCCTAACTATTTGCAATCTTGATACTGAATTTAGATATTCAGTATACTTCAGCTGTTATAAGAACTCTGTTAAACCTTGAAATTCTTATTGAGTTCAAGAATTGTTATACTATTCCAAGTTTCATAGACAACCTTAGTCTACAGGTATTATATATCATGACACTATTGGATCTGTGTTTTACAGGTCACAATTCTGTGAATAGATTTCCTTGATCTGAGTGCCAAATTGGCATTTCCTAGATAACTAACTTGGAAAACTGGTTAGCTCTTCATGAATCTGTTTTTCAGCTTATGGTAATCTATAATCAATATGGTTATGATCATTACATCTCCCTCATATTATTAAGACAATATTTGACAAAGAGTGAAAAAGAAATGAATACCAATTTCTATTAACATTTTGTGAAATGATCAATGAAGTCATTAATCTTTGCCAAAGAAGTAAGTTTTACTGAATCATAGTAATTCTAAAATGATAAAATACAAGTGTCTGAATATTATAGAAGGGCAGTGGTAATAGTGAGTAATGGAAGAAAGGTTCCCAAAGAATGAAATCAGCAAGACTTTTTTATTGGCTGCTTATGATATGGATAGTCTCCAAAAAATATAGCTGAGAAAATTTAAAACAATGACATAAAGAGATGAAGACAAACCCTGAACAAATATATCCAGCTGTATGCAAAGCATAGATTATCATTTTCAATTTTTATAATAGAAATACAGACAGTAGAAAATTATTTTGATTTCTAGTTTTCATTAAGGATCAGAAAAATGTAAAGGTAGAATTGTACAAATGTGTGCTAATCATTTAAGAATTGAGAGGTTTTTTTTTAAATTTGGCATAGCAAACTTAAAACCATTGAGCAGAAAATTAGAAAAAATTCCAAGATACAAATGAAATTTATATTCATGTTTATGGAAAGAAATCTTTTAGTATTTTTATGTGAAGAATGGCTTTCCTGGGAGAAAACATTGGGCATGTTGCAGGAAAGAGGTTACTGTGCCAAGCCCAGCATTTAATAGTAAGATTAAGATTCACAAAAAGATAGGAGAAACCAAAGACTGGCAAAATTTATAACAAAAGACTGAAGTTTTCAGTTAGTAGGTGAAATGAACCAATTTTAGTATGCATGGCCATGGGCGTGCCTTTTGATTACAGCTTAGGAATAACATTGTCTAACGGAGGTCATCATAAGATCACTTAAAACTAACTACAGTACTTTGGACAGATGTGAGAAGATATAAGATAGAAATGAACAACCTAACAATGAAAAGTGCCTGTTGTAATCATGTTCTTTCAGCGCATCAGAACAGACAAGTGTCAGAATGGTAGTTTGTTTCTCTGTTGCCCTGCATTGGGCCAAGTTGACAATCTAAGCTATAATCCAGCTGCACTATAGATACTGAGAGAAGGTTAATAAAATATTGCCCTTAATATTTAAACATAACCATCTGGAATCACTGATGGGCAACTTAGTGCTTGTCTTTTGATAGTGTAAATGTAATTTTCTATACCTCTCCAAGGAAAACAGGAATAAAGAGATAAAGCCAATTATCTTCTTCTACAAATCCATTTTTGTTGTTTTATAGACTCAAACAACACAAAATTAGTGATTTCTTTAGCAACTGCAC